ATTTTCATGAAAATATTGTAATAAAACTTTAATTTTATAAGTCTATTTCCATTTATTTTGAGGTATTGCCTTATTTAATATAGTTACCTAAATTGCCAGGAAACGTGATGTCCTATGACAAAATGGAGGTTATTTTTGGATTCAGCGCACCAAAAAACATAAAAGATTATGTGGAATAACCAAAACAGCTCTTGAAAAAATTTTTTTTGCAGACCTGTGATCTATATCATTTTCTCAAATGAGAAAATTAGTGATTTTTAGTTTCAAATTATCAACAGTTTTAACGCTAGTACACTTTTTTCTGCTATGGTCTTAATCCACACTTGTAGGAAATTTGTGAGTTTCAATCCTGATTCTTGTTCATGGATATAATTTATTCAAGGGATTGGCTTGCACTATTCTCCTTTTATGATATCTGCTGCATAATAGATTCTAGCTTTGAGTTTAGTGAGTGTGTCCACAGACAAATATATTTTTTTTTAGTGTACATAGTGAAATAAGACTAGTTGGGCCAGTAATGAGTGTCATTTACTTCACCTACCTTTTTGTCCTTGCCTTCCTTTGTTTTTCTGCTTCTGAGCAGAAACAGTTTCAAGGAGCTGGAGTACTTTGTCTTTTCTGTCACAGTCTGGGCCTTTGAGTAAGCATATTGTGGAGAAGTAATTCAGAAGAGAACAAATGTTGCTTCTTAGTCTGGTTCCACCTATCAATTCCTGTCATGCTGAACTGAAGGAAACAGTTACAGAAAAATTGCTTGTACTTTGGATTTGGGGTCCAGACACACCCAGAGAATCCTTTTACATCTGGGGACAGTTTCTGTGCTCAGAGTTGACTGTGGAATCATTGCCAGACCTTTGTAACTCAAGGCTACCTTGGTTTTTGGAAGCAAACCATCATAATTTGATTTCATGTTACCAACAGCAGTGAGGATTAAAACAAAAACCAATAGTTGTGAGCAGAAACAGAGTGATGGAGATGTATTTGCTGCAGAAACTGAAAACTGGTTATTCTCAATTTGAGATTAATGATTAATTTTGAACTAATCTTAAAAACGAAAATTTAAATAACTTGAGATTCTTATCTATTGAACCGTTTTGCTCTACATCAACCTCTGCTAGAAGTATTAACTATTTTATAACATCCTTATAAAGGAAGACAAGTAATTGCTTAGATGGCTCTATGAAAATTGTCCTGATGAGAAATGGCTAGTGATGTGTTGAATTTATTTAGTAATTGTCAGCTACTTGGAACATGATGACTAAGATCTGGATTAATGTGTGACAATTGATAAACTGATAATTTTATTGCCCAGGAATTCCTTTAGCAAACTTTGAAACTTTACAATTATGGTCACATACTGTTCATAAATACAGGTCAAGGAAATTATTCTATTTATATAGAATATATGCATAAAATAATTGCAAAATATTTATGAAAAATGTAATTTCAAAATTAGACACCAAATCTTAAGAGTACAATTATCATACTGCATCTAAAAATCAAGTAGTTCTAGTTGTTTTGTGATGCATAAATGAAATTTTTTGAGTGTGAACCAGGTTATATAGCTATAACAGTTCTTAATCAAAAGTTTTCATTTATGCATTACATTTGAATTACTATATAAACAGAGAAAGAAGGAATTGCAACTATCCTCCAGCTCCTGATGCCACTGTATATATCACAAATTCTGCTAATCTAGAACTTTAGCATATAGAGAGTTATTTGGGAAGCTTTAATCTATAGATATGCCTATGGTGATTTCTGAATAGAGGTTATATTTGAACTAGTTAAGATTCTTTCAGGGTTTCCTGCTGTGTTTTGGGAATTTTCGATGAGACCTCTACTTGTTCATTTTTTACTGTGAGCCTTTTCTGTAGAATAATACCAAGAAAATAGATAGTACTACTTAGAATTAAAATAATTTATTCCAGGGAGGAGATACTTATCTGAATAAATGTGACCGATAGAAAATGTTTGACAAAAGCCCTTCTTTTATTAATAAAACTTATTTTTCATGATTGCAGTTGTCCTGAATTCTTTGAGCGATAATTTTGTTGACCAATTTGTTTCTTCCACAGCCCTTCCTTTTTCCTTATATTCCAGGGATGCAGGGGAAGCCTCATGTTTTTATGCCTAGAGTAATACTTATTTGTTTTGTTTTTAATTTCCTAGGCTGACAAACGTGCTCACCACAATGCTCTAGAGCGCAAACGCAGGGATCACATCAAGGATAGTTTCCACAGCTTGCGGGATTCTGTACCTTCACTTCAGGGAGAGAAGGTGAGTTTATTGAGAGAAGTGATATGGTTTCTGTGCACTTCATTGAGCACAAGGAAGTTGTATCCCAACCCTGCTATTTTTAGTAACTAAACAAGAAAGGGCTAGGACCAGGGCTAGGAGACACTTCTGCATGGGTCCCAGGTAGTCTTCTGGAATAAATGTCCTTGCTTCTTTGGTTTCTTTAGTTTGGTTTCTACTTTTTGTTATGCTTTGAAAAATAAAAATGAATTACATTGTAGTAAGTACCGGGAGTTTGTTTACTTATCAACTGTTTTCAAATAACTGAACGTTTTCCTCTTTAAAGCTGAAGTGTTTTTCATGCAGCTATCTAGAACTGATAGGATGATACACTTCTCTACATGTGGATAGCAAGATATTTTTACATTTTATGACTTGGTTAAAAGTTATTGCAGGTTATTCATTTTTTGCATTGGCAAACATTTATTCAGTTTAAAGTTTGAGGCTATAAAAATGAATTGCAAATGAAACAATTTATAGCATGGCTAAACAAAAAGAAGTAGAAGAGTGCCTTGCAATGAGTCCTCAGCTTTCCCCCCACCTTAAGGCAGGGAGTTCTATAACTCTCCTTTCTCCCTCTGATGGAGTTATCATTAGTGTGCACAGTCATTTCAAGTTCTGTCTTATCTAGGAACAATTGTGATTGTATAATTTGTTGTATTCTGTTCTTTACATTGTTTACTCTGAATGCAAGCTACAACATAACTATTTAAAATAAATAAACAGCTTCCATGGATCACCTTCCTGGTCCGACCTGGAAACGGCCAAAAGGAGGTGTTCGTCTAACCACTCTGAGTCACTTCAAACAGAACAGTGGCGTCAAATTTCCATGGAAGTCGCCTATACCCACAATGGGTGAAGAGGCGTCAAGTACAAGTACAAGTACAAGTACAAGTACAAGGACAAAATAAATAAAGTAGCATTTAAATTTGTAGCTTAGCAGCCTTCAACTTGGATAGGAGAAATAAATACTTAAATAAAGTCATTATTTGACTTAATCCCAAGATTTTAGAGAGTAAGTGCATTACATGTAATAGTGAGATTTTTTTTTTTTTTAGACTTGTAAAGCACCTAGGATAAACACCAGACTGGTACATGTTGTTCAGTTCTTCATTTGGCAACTCCTTCCAGTAAGCACAGCTAAGAAATCTGGATGGCTTCTCTCTATGGATAGCTCCACTGGATGACCTGTAATCCAAGAATTTTATCTTGTTTCTCTTTGAAGTCAGAAGGCAGGAAGAAGCTATGGCTTTTGGCTATGATTTACTGAGAAAAGAGTAAAATTTACTTGCTTTCACATCATGGAGAGAATAGTAGTTGCTGAAAATTTTTGGCTTTCTAATGGGTGCAAACATGAGTGGTGTTTAAAACATGAGTTATTTTTCTTCCTGTTTGTTTGACATAATGTTAGTAAATAGCTTTTGCTATGGCTAAAGAAGCTGTTTCAAAAAGAACGAGGAAAAGGTATCATGTTAATCATCATAAATTAAAATCCCTTCTGAGTTGACTGCAGACGCTTATTATAAGATAGTTCACTTGGTAGTGAACTATGTGTAGTCACCTCTAATGACTCTGTCATTGTCAAGGCGCACCCATGTATTAATCATGCTGTACAGGAAAAGTTTTCAAGACTGAGATCTGATACCTACATAACTTGTTAGCTAAAATATGTGGGTAGACTTTCTGCTTTTTTATTCTTCTCCAAGATGAATGCAAGCTGCTATATGCTTAACACTGGAATTTTACAAGACACTGCTGAAAGGTTTATGGCAATTTGGGTAAGAATGGATGAGTTTGACAATCATGTTACATAAATTGCTGGTAGCATTATATATAGGCTTCAGCCTTTTGCTCAATGAAGAAAAATATACACGTAAAATTGAACAGGAAAAATCCCTCCTGATCTGGCCTTTTCTGATACAGAACAGGACATTTGGATATAAATAATTACTGTATGCTGGGCATTTTTTTGCTGGAAAGATTGAACTTGGGCAACCAAAGAATTGCTAATCTTGATGCACATATACATGGTTGGTCAACCTCAGCATATATTTATATTTGTGTTTTTGTGTACTTCTATAACATGCATGCACATTAAACAAGATAATATTTCTAGTTTTATTGGTTGACCGCATAATGTAGTGATTCTCAACCTTTTCTTCACCCCAGACTCCCTTTAAATACCTTTTGTGGCCCCAGACCACCAAGGCTTAACTTAAGATTTAAATCATAACATTACTTCAAGTCTTCACGGGTCCGTGGACCACAGGTTGAGAACCACTGTTCTAGTACAATGACTCATAAGAGATATGTGTGCTTAATTATAAGTAAAGTTTGCTCAAGATTGTAATAGTGTCCTATGCTAATTGGGTTATGATTGAAAATAATGATCACTTTAGCAATTTAAATTAAAAAATAAGCAAAAGGTTTAACTGTGACCTCAAATTGAAAGGGTCTGAAGAAATTCCATTCTAATGTATCTAAGTTCTGACATAACAAAATTCAAAAATATTTCTAATATTTTGTCAGAGAGAAGAGTCAGGCATTTTGTTGTTCTTGTTTTGTCCTAGGTTTTGCTAAGTGCTGCCTGGTGGTTAAGTATGCTTTTTGCAGTTTGCATTATCTGTATAAACAGCCAAAGAACTGAACTCCATAAAGAAACAACAGTGGAGCCACACAACTTGTGAACAGCATAACAGCAAACAAAAACAAAAAAAACCCAAACTTCTCTTGATACTAACTTGAGTTTCTTAATACACAATTTATTTATTTATCTAATTTACATAGGCACCCATTTCACAGGCAAGTAACTCTGGGCAGCATACAAGAAAACTACACACTTTTACATTGGAAAGACTGGCTTATTCTGCCATAAGAAACAATGATAATTCAAAATAAGACCTTTCCTCTGCTACTGACAGCTGAACTCATGGTCAAACATACATGAGTACAACTCCTAATTTCTCACGTGAACGTGTGAAGCTAGTGTGTCCCCTAACATACAGGGATAGATCATAGAATCATAGGGCTGGAAGGGATGTTGGAGGTCTTCTAGTCCAACCCCCTGCCTAGGCAGGAATTCCTATACCATTACAGACAAATGACTGCTCAATCTCTTCTAGAAAACTTCCAGCAATGGAGCACCCACAACTCCAGGAAATAAGTTGTTCCACTGCTTAATTGTATTCACTGTTAGGGAATTCCTCCTTATTTCCAGATTGGATTTCCCTCTGATGCTTTTTGTCCCACCCTCAGGTGCTGTGGAGCTATGGAGGTGCTGTGGAGAATAAATCAGTGCCCTCTTCCCTGTGGCAGTCCTTCAAATATTGGAAGATCTCTATGTCTCCCCTCAGTCGTCTCTTCGTTAAACTAAACATACCTAGTGCCTTTAGTCATTCTTCATAGCCTCCATATCCCTTATCATCTTTGTTGTTCTTCTCTGCACTCTTTCTAGGTCTTCAGTATCTGTTTTGTTTTGCAACTAGAGCTACACGCAGCATTCTCAAAGGAGGCCTTACCGATGTAGTATAGGGGAGTACTACTTCCCTTCATTTTGATAGTATCCTCCTATTGATACTGCCCAGGATTGTATTGTTTTTTTGTAGCTGCAGCATCCTGCTGACTCATACTTAAGTAATGGTCCATCAGGACACCTAGAGCCCTCTCACAGGCACTAGTGTTGAATCAAGTACTGTCTGTCTTGTACCTGTGCATCTGGTTTTTCGTGCCTAGGTACAGGACCTTCCTTTCTCACTACTGAACTGCATCTTGATGGATAATGCTGAAGCTGGTCAAGATCCTTCTGAATTTTGAAACTGTCTTCCAAAGTGTTAGGAATTTCCTCCAGATTTGTGGCATCTGCAAATTTGATGAACATCTATCTATTCAATCTCCTCTCTATCTTATTTATGAAGATATTGAAGAGCACTGGGCCCAAGACAGAACCTTGAGGAACCCCACTGCATTCTTCCCTTCACATAAGTATAGTTCCATTAAAGACTACGCGTGCCATTGGTCAGCTGAGTGCCGTTGGTCAGTGAACTGCAGCTCCATCTGGTAGTGGTACTGTCTATCCCACATTGTTCTTATCTTAGCAAGAAATAGGCTCTGGTCTACTTTATTGAATGCCTTATTGAAATCTAAGTGAACTATATCTACCACATTTCCTCAGTCTGCTAATTTAATCACTTTATCAAAGAAGGCAATAAGATTTTTAAAAAATATATTTTTATTCTTTTTAAACAAAACAACACATACAAAACAAAGCAAGAAGGAAAAAAAAAACAACTTTCCTCCATTTCATCAAGCATGTCGTCGGGTTACAAGTTTTTGTCATCAATTCTTAAGATTAAGAATAACATCACTAGTTTTGCATTAAACATAACTGAATATTTTGCTGTCATTGAGCATTATGTATTCAAATTACCATTAATATTCTTTCATTTGTAACAATCCTTATTTCCTCGAATTCATAATTAGCTATCAAATAAGAATAAGTCTTTAAAGTATTATAATATCACCTATCTCCAAGGAGAAAAAGCGGAGATTAGAACAAAGAATTCCCATTAATTTATAATATACATTCATATTTTCAATTGACCATAATGTCACCAATCATCCAGAGTTCCAAGAATAGTTTTCCATTATTAATTATTAATCCATATAGTGGTTAAATATTTCAAATCATATGTACATCAATTGTTCATTACATCATCCAGAAGGCAATAAGATTTGATAGACATGATCTGTTCTTAACAAACCTTAGCCACACCTTCTATTTTATATCTAAGTGCCCTTCCTTGTCCTTCCTCATTGTTGAATTCATGATTTTGGGGCTTATGCTTTGGGATTATTCCTAGAAATCTGCTTCCTTCCTTCTCCAGATTTAGTTGAAATCCTTTGAATGACTCAAGCTGTTTTCCAAACACATTTCCTCCTGTCCTTGTGAGATAGAGCCTGTCTCTTGCCCAGAACCTATCTTGTAGGTGATATAGATTATGGTCCAGAAATCTAAAGTTTTCTTGGTGGAACCATCCCTTGAGCTATCAGTATACCACTGAAATCCTCCGTTCCCTCATTGGATGTTGACTTTCATTGCAAATATGGATGAAAACACCCCGTGCACTTAAGTCTTTTGCCTTCTTGAATAGTTTCTCATAGTCCCTTGATTTTTTTCAGGCTCTTTTTTGTTCTATCATTTGTCCCAGCATGAAAGAGGAGAAAAGGATAATTTATTACTTGGATAAACCTCCTCACATCCTTGATCTTTGAACCTGGTCTGCAGTTTGTTGATTCTATTCCTCTGAGAAGTGAGTGACTAATCCACCACATGTCTTTCCCCTTCAGGACACCTAGAGATTTCTCTTCCTTGTAACAATCTGAGCTACTTTTCTTCCTGTTACTGGAACAATGATGAAAATCCTTCTTCAGATGTTTGCATCTTTTTCCAAGGAGAGAAAATGAAATTGATTGTTAAATTCCAGTGACAAGGCTAGTTTTCTCAGAGGGGGGCTACAAGTGACATTTTGCCATCCTTTTCGGCATTTCCATTTTTAGTGGTAGTTGTTTCTTCCTTACTGTGTTGAGTTTCTAGAAACTTCTGCTTTTTCCAGAAACTGCTCATTTTGATAGATGAGTCTTAGAATGGATATATGTTCTTCTAGACCTGTGGACTTCAACTCCAGAATTCTTTAGCCACCATGGCTGGCTGGGGAATTCTGGAAGTCGAAGTCCACAAGTCATAAAGGACCATATTTCCCCACCTCTGCTCTAGACCTTCCACATTTACCTCCAGCAATTTGATCAGTTGCCACTTGGTGCACATATCATTGAAGTTCTCAGGCAGGGATACAAACACAGTACACATCTTGCAGGCCACCATAGCACCTTTTTCTCCATTACTTCATTACTTTTAATAATTGTGTATATCCAAATAGATATTTTCCTTGGAGATTTAGATTAATTTAGATTCTTAGTTGTAAGATTTAGCATGTAGGCCACTAGTTTGATACAATGAGATGCTGTTATTCACAGTGAGCTTGTCACTCTCCCAGAATCCTCTTGTGGTATGCAATTGCTCCCAGTGAGCCAATTCCCAGGCCACTGGTTTGATACATTGAGATGAATTCGCACTTGACTATTGCTCACAGTGAGCTCCTCTTCACTGTCTTAGAATCCTCCAATGGTATACAAATGCTCCCAGTGAAATAAATATGCAGAAGCAATTTGCATTGTGAATATTTGAGGTTTTCATTTATAACTGTCAAACGTAAGTTCTAATTCTATAAAATAACATTTTTAGTTAAAATTATATTAATCTAAAATAATTACAATTGTTTTTCTTGATATTCATTCTCAGCTGAATTAGTCTAGAAAAATAGCTTTAACTGGTTTAGATAGATGCATTTAGAAATCAGGAATAGATTGATATCATTTGTGTATCAGAACTAATATTCTATTGAAAGACTATATCTAGTCTATTCTATTGAAAGACTATATCTAGTCACAATATTCAGGGTTATATATTCAGGGTTATATTTGCATCTGATTTGTGCTTGCTTATTTATTTATTTATTTGTTTGTTTGTTTATTTATTTATTTATAGCATTTATATCACTCATTCTATTCTAATATTACAAACTTAACTAAAAAAATATAGTGGCCAAAATATTCTCTGCTCATCTTGATCCAAAGACTATTTCCATTATTTATTATTATTTGTTTATTATTTAAATAACAGATACTTACACAATATAAAAGTAAACAATGTTTCTAATACTTAGAATTTTAGCATTTTGGGATTTAGTTTAGTCTCAGTTTCCTAGTTGAAACTATGATTGAATCTGTCTATATGTTGGAAGATTAAGGTGTTTTCTTTGTGTCTTCCGACTACTAATTGATGTTCATAGATGCAATCTGCTAATCTTCTCCCTGACTCTCCTACATGGTGGCTGTTACAATCTTTTATGTTATGTATGAATCCTGTTTCTTTCTTCTTGAACTACTGGGTTTTCTGATTTAGTTAGGGTGTTTTGGAGGACTTTATGTTCTTAAGTAAACCAAAAAAACATTAACCAAAAAATAATCCAACTGACAGTTTGTGAGCATCCTAGATCTTGCTAAACCTAAAAAACGTGCTAAGGAATTCACTGAAACGTGTCATTCAGACAAATCAGTCATAGATACATAGAGATAAATCACATTTCCACACTATTTAAAAGAGACAGTAAAAAAAGCTAAGAAGGAAACCAAAAGACCAGAACACATTCTCTCTAGTAACCAACACCCAGATGAGTAGGGATTAACACCAGATAAACAATCCAGCAGGAAAACAATAATCAGCATACTACAAGGTAAAAACCACACCCCTACAAATACTGGTAGAGCAAGGTACAGTATATATACAGAACGCAAACCTCACAATCAAATAGCACTGATGATGTTACCTAGTCAAAGAACATTTGCAAACCAAGCTCGGAGAGCACCAGGGATTCCGCCATAGTGATTTACTTCAGAGTAGTCCATTTTTGCTCTGCAGGAACCACTTGGGGAAAATGTTTTGTTTCCCTTACTTTCTATGGAATAAAGTATGCACTATTTCAACCAATTAAGTTATATTAAGCTATATACTCTTGATTGATTGATTGATTGATTGATTGATTGATTTTGGCATTGATACTAAAGTTGTATAGACTATTTAAAATCTTTTTTGAAATACCTCATTTCCAATGTAGAACACTCCTCTTGCACAGGAAAATAAAAGTTTTGTGTGCTCAGTGAGCTGTCCCAAACACTTTGTCTTGTGCTCAAATACAATGAGAAACTCAGAACAGAATTTTGTCATTTGTTTACAAAAAAAGGAAAAATGGGAGCAAAATTATTCCAATTTGTCTTTTTCATAGTCAATAGGACAGATTTTTACTTTCCATATCACACTCCAAAACATAAATGTTCAGTACAACATGCAAGTACTATAATATATGAATGCCTAGATGCCAAGGACTGTAGGCTTGAAAGGCTATAGGTAAGATATTTTACAATCATGAGTGCATTACAAGAAGAGATGTCCAATTTGCAAACATTGCTGCGGGGTTTATTGGCCAGGTTTGTTGGCTAGTTCCAGTTGTTGAACGAAGCTGTGACTGGCAACTTGATCTCTTGCAAGGAAGCTGTCGTACAACAGTTGAGAGCTTTTTTGCTTTGCTGCAGAAATTCTTTTGAATGCAAGAGGGCTCAACTTTAGAGTAGTTGGCAATACAGGGAATGATCGTTCTAGAATCTAGAGCACCCTTTAGAATAGTTGCTTAATGCTATAATAAGCAACTATTAACAGAGTTCCTAAATAAATAGGAAGTGAGTATGAAGTTGGAAAACAGATAATATCCTGATACCTAATTAAGAATTTTAATACTAAGTTTGTGATTTAATCAAATGTGGATTATTTTAATAATATATCTATTATCAAATATAATATATCTATGTAGCAGTCTGTCAGAATTATATTTTTTGTATCAGAACTAGGACTTTATTTGGTGTTTTTTTTCCACAACTATTGCAACAGGCATCCCGGGCCCAAATCCTAGATAAAGCCACAGAATACATCCAGTACATGCGCCGGAAAAACCACACACACCAGCAAGATATTGATGACTTAAGGCGTCAGAATGCCTTGCTGGAACAACAAGGTAAGTATACCTGTGCTGAGGTTTTCATATTCATAGTTCTAAAGGTTATGATATCCCACAACAAAGCCCTCTATAGGGGGTTTATGGATCAACATCTAATTACCTGTGTTGAATAAAACTGTGTTGGTGTTTTAAAAGCTTAAAGGTTTTAGGTGTTGGCAGCATGTATCAGTTTTCATGCAGCCACTTGGTCTTTCTTCCCTGGAAGGATCCTTTATACAAGATTGAAGCAGACCAATAAGTTACCACTAGACAGCTCCTGAGAGTCCAGTATGCGTCCAGTATAGTGCACATATATAAGTATTTCAGATCTAACTGTGCCTTGAAGTGGTTAATTTGAAGCACTTGTAATAACTTACAATTCAAATGTAAAAACATATAACCAAAACTATATGCATAACGGATACTTCAAACAAATTCAATGGATGGTAGAGTGCTTATATAGAAATATTGTGAGAGAAAACCCCAGGGATCATTCTGCATTCCACATGCCACTGCAGAAGCAGCTTCCATGTTTTCTCCATGCAGATTGTATTTGATGCTTTTAGCATCATTCTCAAATAGGCTGAGATTGTTTCAGTCCTCAAACAAAAACATTTTGTTAAAAAAAATAAAATGCAGAGACTTTCCCAGCATACTAATTTACCTATCTAAAGCTTGAGAATAGGCAGAGTAAAGTAACAACCATTACTGACTTGTGTGCAATTATTTCTATTCCTATCATTTCTATTACTCTTGGCCTTCAGTAGAATTTGAAATTAATTATCCAGTGCTTATACCAAATTCCATTAATGTAGAATTCCATATTCTCAATTGAATTGATATTTCCCATTCACACGCAAAGCTTCTGTTTCATTGCTTTCTGGAATACCTAAAACAGGGATTCCTAAAACTTTTGCCAACACACCTCACTTTCTTAAAAATACAAACACCAAAATGAACTAAAATGAACAATGAAAGCAATACAATGAAATTTTGGGAAAAACTGATTTATTGTAATAATGTACAAAAATTCTCCAAACCACTCCTGAATTCTTTTTTCTGCAAGAGAGACAAGCTATTTGAGAAACCCCAACTAATGTTAATTTTTTCAAGTAGTTTGTAACAAGAGAAGATTATTTTTCTTTCAGGGCAAAAACCAATATTTGAGGGAAACTAGAATAGATCTAATGGACTTTAAAAATTATGTTTTTATTTACTACTGTAATAGTATGACATACTAAGATCAACTTAGCATATGAAATTGTGGTATTTTACATAAGGAGTATAAATATATATAGTACTACATTTTTATTCAAGAAAGTAACATATATTTATTGTTAAAAATATAGTGGCAAGCTGCTGCTTTATGTTTAAAGTTCCCAAACGTCAACAACTTATGAGTGAGCAAATTGTTGAAATTAGTTAGGTCAGAAAATGTCAGTGGTATAGATTGGAAGAAAGAAGCATTGTTATTAAAATAATTCATAGTAGTAATAAATAAAACTTAAATTGACACAACAAAAATATGAGAGGTGGTTTCTCAAATCAATCATAAGTAAAATTCATTCCGAGGAAAGAAGATTTCAGTTATACAGGATTTCAGAAGTTGGTGGAGGGAGAAATCTAAAGGAAGGGTCATAAGAAACAGTTGAAGAGAAAGCCTGCAACCCCCTGGAAATAAGACTTTATTGGGGTGGGGGGGAGGGTCCTATGACCTAAAAAGAAAAGACTACTGCACTGTATTCCATGATTCATGATATTGATTGAGAATTCAACTAGACTCAAATTAGCACTCTTACCATATTGGAGGTAAGCTGCCTTGTGGAAATTGCTTGCTTTCAAAAACTGTTAAGTACCTAAATTAGTGGCAATAAAGAGGTCAAGTGATTGCCCCCATATCATTCACCTTGTACCCTTTGCTTGCCTTTCCCACATCCATTTCCATATTCTTGATCTTACCTTTCAGTTCGTGCACTGGAGAAGGCAAGGTCAAGTGCTCAGCTGCAAGCCAACTATTCCTCTTCAGACAACAGCCTCTACACCAATTCCAAAGGCGACACCATCTCCGCCTTTGATGGTGGCTCTGACTCCAGTTCAGAGTCTGAGCTGGAGGAGCCGCAGAGCCGGAAGAAACTTCGTATGGAGGCCAGCTAGAAGAAGCCTTGGTTCCCGCTGCCATTAGACACTTGCTGGCTGCTTAAGGACTTTCCTTTTTCTTTAGTAGAGGCTCTCGGACTGCAACTTCCTCTATTCCTTATCCCTTTCTGGCCCTTTTAAAGTTAACACGACTCTGTGGCTTGGTAGATTACCGTCTGGATGACACCAGCCATAGCGTAGAGCAGAATGCAATTCTGCCCTGCGGCTGCTGGGTTCTAGTAACAGGAAAGCCCAGATCAGTTGATTAAACTGATGTCTCTGAGATTGCCTGGCATGTGTGGAGATAGTGTACTCTCCATGCTTCCACTAGAACTTCACCAGCCTCTCTTGCTTTTATCAAAATATTGCTATTTATGATAATAAATCCATATAGCCCCAGAAGAATCTTGGTAAGGAAAGAAGCATGCAGAAGCAGGTATGGATGTTCCTTCTTGCCTGAAGGGATGATGCAAGATTCACGGTGAGGCATAGAGATTCATTTCCTTTTTGTATTTTGGCAAATGATGAATTGGTATTTATTTCCTCCAAAGGAATCTCTGTCTGGCCAGATTCCTCCTCCTGCTACGGACATTGGTAATGTGAAGCTACAGATTCAAACCATGTTAAATTCTTCCTTTTTCTGTTTTGAATTTATCAGAAACAGAGCCAGCTTTTTTAATGTAAATATACACAAGCTTTGTTATTTGGTACTAATAAATGCATTTAAAGTGTGAATCTGCTCTCTGGCAAATGGGCCAGTTTCCCATGTGAATTAAAGAGGCCTAGGCGCTAAGCAAGCAAAAGCCTCTTTGTGCGAAGGTGTGCGTGTACACACATATGCATGGATATGCACATGCATGTGTGTGTGGTATGTGTGATATTTTTTTGTCTTCTTTCCACACTTGTTTGTGACGTTTTCTGAATTTAGCGTGTACAAATGTAGCTTGGTCTCTGTCCAGGTGTGAGTCTATTCCATGGAACTGAAGTATGTTGTACATACTGCCCAAGAATTGTCTTGCAAGTTAAGGCTTCCCTTTACTATAAAACTATAAATAAAAAAATATTTTATCCTTTTGAGTGGTATCGGTGTCTTTATGGAATGGTTGCAGTTCTCTTGTGTTCTCCAGTATTAAGTTGGATGATACTTCACAGATTCGAAAACATAGAAGCTAAATCCAAAATGATTTTTTTGGAAAAACGGGTATTGGTTCTCATTTACTTAATATTTTTCTCACTTTTTAACTGGGCTATTTCTCAAAATGGTTCACAATATTCATCAAATAAATTCAATGCACATACAGTACAATTCAGTAAATATAAATTTAGTTCAGTGTCACCAGAAGTAGGTGTCCAATAGTTTATAAAAACGGCTGGACACCAAATTTCATCGTCTTTGTCTATTTGGAGATTGCTTGGATTCATCAGTCCTTTTGCAGACACCCAGAAGATACACAACATGTTTAGGATAAAAAAAATGATTTTGTGGATGAGGTTTAAGATGCAACATGTCTTAAGATTTAGTTTAGTTTGCAAAGAAAACAATCATTACCAAAAAGAAAGAGTGAAAAACAGAGAGATAATCCAGGCTTCATATATTTCATTTCTCCATAGGTAACTCACGAAGTCATTAGCAATATTCCCTGTTGTTTTCTTTACGCTAATTAAAGATATTTTGCTTTCTCCCTGTATTTCACTGGATTATTTGGCATAAGATCAGATATAGAATAACTGAGAACTTAAAAACATTTTTTTTAAAAAAAACCTTTAGGAGTTTGCAGATTTATGACTGGAATTTTACAAATTTATATTATTAGCCCTAGTGAGTTCTGCAAGACTTGATCCTCAATCAGATGTTGCTAGATTGCAACTCTAGATTGCTAGATTGTAACTCCAGAGTTTGGTCCGGAACTAGTTTGGTCTAACAGTTAAGATACCAGGCTAGCAACCAGGAGACTGAGAGTCCTGGTCCTGCCAAAGGCATGAAAGCCGGCTGGGTGACTTTGGACCAGTTACAGTCTCAGCCCAGTTTGCCACACAGGGGTAATTGTTGTGGGGAAAATAGGAGAAGAAAGAGATATGATCACTGCCTTGAGTTTGTCTATAAAAATAATAAAGGTGGGATATGTGTACATACATGTGCGTGTGTGTATGTGTAAAATATATTGCAAAATAGGTCAGGTTCATGTGATGCTGCTATTACTGTAGGTCAGATCAGTACAATGTCATCCTTAGAACTAATCAGTTTAGATTTTTTGAGGTTGTATCATAGGTCCTGTAATGCTTTTACAATTATTTAGAAAACTAATCTCATTTCAGTTGCTACTCTTTTACTTTATTACCACATTGCTCCTAAACATCCTATATTTATTATTTTGTGCCAGTATATCCCATTTGGTTAGTCCTGAAAGCAGAGTATATGGCTTTATTCATCTTAGCTTTTTATTAGAAACAAGGTAAAAGTCTACTGAAGCAATGGCCCCTCCTTTGTGGGGTACTACAGGGCTTGGTATTCTCTCTGCTCTTTAACATCTACAAGAAACTGCTGCAAGATCATCTGTCACTACAGGACATATCACTAATATGCTGATGATACCCATCTATCTACCGCTGTCCCAGGTGAAGTGAGTGATGCGGTAGACATCCTTTCACAATGCCTGGAGGCTGTGGAGGTCACAATGGGGAACAGACTTCAACTGAACCTTAATAAAATGGAATGGCTGTGGGTGAGCCTCTCTGTGTCCAGGAGTTTCTCATCTTTGGTCTTGGATAGGGTCACACTACCCCAGACAGTGAATAACTTGGTCTTGGACTCACAGTTCCTACTTAAAGAGCAGGTGGCAGCCGTAGCCAGGAGGGTCTTTTCCCAACTTTATGTGCCAGTTACGCCCCTTCCTGGACAGGGACCCCCCTCCTCCTCTCAGTCACTCATGCCCTGATCATTGCCTGATAGGATTATTGCAATGCGCTTTACATGGGGCTACCCTTGAAAAATATCCAGAAGCTTCAGCTGGTGTAGAATGTGCCTGTGCGAGTTACACTGAGAGCTCAGAGAAGGGCACATATAACACCTCTGCTTCATGAACTGGACTGGGTGCCAGTTTGCCTCCGGATCCAATTCAAGGTGTTGGTTATTATCTATAATGCCCCCTATGGCATAGGACTATGCTACCTGTGGAACCAACTTCACCCCATCACATCAGCCTATCCTACTTGTTCAGGCAGGGAAGGCATGCTACATAACCCATCAGTCAAAGAATTTTAACCAGCAGGGTCAAGGAAGACGGCTTCTCTGCTGCTGCCCCTGCTTTGTAGGAATATCTTGCCCTCAGAGTTAAGGAACACTGCCAATCTTTTGGCCTTCCACAAAGGGGTCAATACCTGATTGCAACCTTGTATGGAGGCCCACATAGCCACCCCCCGGGCTTGTATTATGAATTCCTAGTTTTTCCACCTTGGAACATTTTTGTATTTTTTTTTTACATTTAAAAAAAAGTTTTTTATTCTTAAATTATTCAATTTTTAATGTTTTGTTATATTGACTAATTTGTATACTACCCAGAGCCTCTCTCTGAGTGAGGTGGGCAGTGATATAAATAGTCTTCCACAAGAGCAGTTAAGGTGGCCCTAAATTAGGGAGATGGTCTCTAAGAAAGAGGGGTGTCCTTAAGGCCATTTTGCAAAGTTTGTTTCAATCAGATAGAATCCAACATCCTTGGAGCAACTGAGAGTTTATAAAGCATACCAACATGCTTTTGGTTATAACAATGCTAAACATCTAGAGAAGTAGCCCCCATCCAGGGGTGAGTTCTAGCTGGTGTTACTGCTGGTTCACTCGTGTGCATGTTTGTGCGTGTGTGCTGGATATGCCCTGTGTGCGCATGCGAAATTCAATGGAAATGGTTCTGCGCATGTGCAGAACTCCCCCAAAAGATGGTGATAGTAGCAACCAGAGAATCGGTTCAGGGGCATGGCCAGCCTGCGTCGCTGCCACTTCTGTGATCCAGTCTGGTATACCACTACCAGTTCAACCGAACCTGGCTGAACCGGTAGGAACCCACCTCTGGCCCCATCTGAGATTTTTACCTGATGTGAAGAAGAAATAGGTCTCATTTAGGAATGAAAAGTTGTGTTTTCACACATTACACTATATTTCAGAGCATTCAAAAAGAAGGCCGGATGGCCGTAACACTTGTCTTTTAGTTCGGGTTTCCCACCAGTCTGATTATAATTTTCAAAAATGGGCTCCATTGGCATCTTCAAAAATAAAAAAAGTTGAGTGGTTGTAGCTGTGGTTTGTATAAGTGTATTTCTTGGACCAAAAATTCTGTACAAACAAAAAGGGGATTTCATAAGAACTTGAAGGGATGGTAGGAAGCCAGCATGATCATTGCCTTCTGGTAAACAATTATTTTGTTATAAATCTGGCTGAAAATGGCAGCCATTTTGTTGGAGCATCTACAAAATGGCAAAAATTCAGGTATGTTATCACCCCACTCCAAATGTTTGTGCTTTAAATTATATTTCCAAGATTATAACATGGGATCATTATATGATCTTATATTAGCTCAAGAATTAGATTGCCATTGCTTAGTTCTAAGTAGAGCATTTGTCAGTCCTAAAATCTGCACCATCCATTAATGTACTTTACATTTGGGAACAAACTTAATGACAAGTCTTCACGTTTATTGCTCCAAAATGTTTTTTTTAATATTGACTTATTTAATTAATTTCCATAACTGCCCATGTCAAACAAATGGGATTGGATATATAAAACATGTTTTTCCTGAATTGCTCTTAAAATATTATGTCTCTTCCCAAAACGGAATAAATAATTCAGCTGACAGTAGTATTTCTGGGATACTTGTGGTAATAAAGTAAAATAAACAATAAAATGGGTCGTGTGTCAAGGGATAGAATTTGTGTGTGGTGTGGTGTGGTGTGGTGTGGGTGGGTGTGGGTGTGGGTGTGTGTGTGTGTGTAGCCACTATATTCCAGCCACTTCTGGAAGGTATCAATATTTCTCATGATCATTGGGCTTTAATTGGTTTTCTTTATTCTGCTTGGGGCAAAGCAAGTTACACAAGTATCCTCCAGAGCACAAAGCTGTTGTTGCGGCATTCTTGGTTCTAGTGGAAATTGACATTTCAAACAATTTGCTATTTGGACCAAAGAAAAAAGAAAAAGAACATGTAGAGAATCCAAAGTACATTCCTGGTTCAAGCATGTTGCAATCATGAAAAGATGGGCATTTTCTGTTCACCAAATTCTCCAGCTAAGCCAGTCAGATCTCTCTAGATTTACTGTACAGAAGAAATTAGATGAAAATGTTTGTATATTTTCAGAAATTGTTTAGACAGTTATTTGGGCAACTGCTTTAGTTACATGCCTGACGTGTACAACTAATATGTCCTGTAGGAACCACGTAGGTTGGCTTGGCTCCTAGTGCCATGAAAGCCCTTTTAGCAACTTCTCAGTAGGATGTTAACAAAATATTGAAGCAAGCTAATGACTGCTGCCTCATATGTAACAGGAAATGGCATAGGTTCCCAATTTTAATGTTACAGATTATAGTTGTCCACAGCCTTCCTTTTTTCTATAATATTATGTTTGCAGATTCCCTGCAGATTCTAACCTCACAAGCACAGGAAAAAAGGGGGCATCTCCAGGATTGTGCTCAAATTTTGGTATATTTATACAATGTGTGGAAAGTACAAGAAGCAGCCTTTTAATAAGATCTAGTTATAAGATCTAGTTATAAGACAGAAGTCAACAATATGAAAATCCGTCAAGTTGTAACATTTGAGGTTTGTTTTTCACTTTTGCAGTTGAGTATATAGACTTATAGAGTTATTAACTATATTTCAATTCAGTGCTCTACCTACTATTGACTTAACATTCCTTGTGTTCTAAAGCTGTAGAAGCCATGCTAAATTTGTGAAAAGTAGACAATCAGGAATTTCAGTGTTAGTATAGTTCAGTGAAGCCCTGGAGAAGACAGTGACATCTCTCCTCTGTTGGGACAATTTATAAGCCTAAGGACTCAGCAATCATTTCCTCTCCCAACCTGATTGTCAGCAGATGGAAATTGCCTTCTCCTATAAGAATCCTGCACAGGAAATACAAGCGGAAATAGGGTATCAGAGTTGCTATGTTTTTATGCATAAACTTTTATATTATAGGGATATTTCTACCCATCCCACCCCAATACCTTAAAAAACAGTATTGCTTTCCACAGAAACAACTGCTTAGCCTGGTGTTTTCAATAGGTCAATTCTTCCTATGCTTGTTAAGAATATCAATTTCAACAGGGAAGTTGCATTTTCTTTTTCAGATCACCATAAAGCTATAGTAATAGTAATGGTAATCTTCTCATCCTAAATGTATGTTAATTATGTTTCATATAAGCAACATCAAGTGACCTTAATAAAAAACATTTTGCAATTGGCTATGTGTGGTCCTTTGCATAACTTCAATTAAAAATACAGCCAAGCAGCAATACTGCAATATTAATCTGTTTTTCTCTTGGCGTGTAGCTCTGATAATACCTCAAGGGAATGGAGTTCCTCATGCACATATATCAAGGTCCCCACCCTTATTTTTTTAAGCAGCCTTTCAGTGATGAGTCTGAGTTATAGTTTAATAGCTCTGAACTCCATTTCAAAGGAAATGAACACTCCACTTGTCACTCTAAGTAAACTATCTACGCAATATATATTAACTTTCTAACATGAACAATCAGTAAAATCACAACAACTGAACAGTAACCAGGACTTTGCAAAACACAGTGACAACCTAATCAGAGGGCAATTGTTCCATCTCCTCCCCCTGCCCTGCACACACTTTTTTTTAGCACTTCCTGAATCTAACATTTCTGACATTTTACATGAAAGACACCATTCATTGGCGGCCAATGGTTCTTTAATACAAAGCATAGCTTGCTACAGTATACAGTATGTGAATTAGCATCCTTGCAGCGCTTTACTCTCATAAGTGGTTAAAAAAATGCTTCCTGCCTTTTTTTTTTTACAATCATCAGTTAAACAGCCTTTTCATGACTGCATGGGAGCTTCTATTGCTGTCCAAAATTTAAGTATCTGCATGGAAACCACTTAGAGTACTATAAATACTATTAAGCACACCTCCTTAAATTATAGCACTTTAAATTTATAGGATTTAAGCTTATAGGATTTACTGAGGGAGGTATACACAAGACGATACATTGTATTGTAAACCATCAAAATTTAAATTGGTATCAAAAAAGCTGAATTCCTGCATCCTGGATTATACAAATAAAGAAAGCCTGCATGTATAGACATACAGCATGCAGTTGTTTAGGATCAATTACTTTTCCTAATTATGAAGATGGATATATTTACTGATGCTTCAAACTCGCCCTTTCTTGCTACCCAGAATTTGCTTACCTTTGGAGATTTCACCAAGGATATTCAAGCATATTCTTAGGTATAGGAGATAGTAACTTGAGAGATTTAAAAAGTCAACATTTTCACATTGTTAAATCTCCCCCCCCCACTCCGCCATTGTTTCATTAAATCAGTTTCTGTTAAATCAGAAATATGAGTGTTTGCATTTTTTCTACTTTATGCTTCTAATAAAGGGGTAAATAAATGATGCCTAAGATTTTTTCTCATTCCAGATCAACAATGTTTCCTGTCTTTCAAAGGCACCTACCATTTTTACTTCAGTCTCCAGGGCAAAAGGGCTGTTAATACCCATGTGTGACTCCTCCCACGCCTCACTTCGGAAACTTTTCAAAATTCCTAGCATGCACATCCATTCCAAAGAATGCCATGAATTGACATGTACATGGCTGATGAGCACCCAAACGGAAGATGGTTTTATGTGGTTTCTACTGGTTGTTGCAGAATACAATTTTCCTGCTCCAGCTCCTTCACTTCAGTCTTCCATAGTGTTAAATTTATGAAAGTGTCTTGAGAAGCAGAATGGTATGCTGGTCTTGTTGTATTCAGATTGAGATTGTCTGGCAATGTTTCAGCGAGGTCTCACTCGCCATCTTCAGGCTGATGTTTTCGGCTTAAAGTGTGATCGGAGCTGCCATCTTTCTATAAATCTTGGTGGGGGGTTGTGGAGTACTGGCGTTGTTTCAGTAAGTGGATTGATTGGATGTGTGGCTGTATCATGATTGATAGATTGGTGCTGATTGGTGCTGGCTGTGTGTCCATTGTTGTTTTGTGTTGTAACGGCCTGGGTGGTAGGTGAGGCTCGTTTCCAGATGACTAGGGCTGGTTTCCAGATGTCAAAAAATAGCCAACATCTTAAGAAACTCCAAATACAAAATCCAACTAGAAAACCAAGGAGTCTACGAAATACCATGCAAAAT